AAATGCTTACAAATAATTAAATTAAAAACAGATTTGCATTTTTGCTTAGTTACAAAAATTTACAACCAATGGTTCATCTCTACGGGAAGGCATTGGTATTATTGATGAGATTAAAAATAATTTATCTCAAATGGAGAATAACGAATATTAAAAAAAAAATTAAATCGACCAGCGCAGATCTCTATTATTTGAGAATATTAAACAACTCTTCTATGTCTATTGTAATTTTTCAATCCTTGAAATGAACTGAATAAAACACAAAACATTAAACTGTACGTAATTTTGTTGTTGTTAAAGCGTAATTCTACCAAGTCGAACCAAGGGTTGATTCCGGTCCGAACAACATAAACAAAAACTTTTTTCCAATACCCATATATAGAAGTCACCTCTCGGCAGTCATGGGTAAACCTTTTGTCTGAATACTTGTGTCGGAAAAAATTCTTGTAACATAAAATCGCGCATGCACACATTTTTAATAACCATACGTGACAAATTTTTATCACTGCGTAAACATTGTTTTTTCCAATGCGTTAAATTTAAATAAATGGCATAAATAGAAATTAAATAAAAAGGTGTTAAAAAACTTTCGCCACTTTCGACGCCACTTAAATCAATCATAGTCAAAGATAAGTATAAAAACTGCAAGTTGCAGACATATTAGCCATTTATCAAGTCCACGTGCCATTTAAGCCGTTAGCGGTGTAGCAGACAGCTAAAGTCAAAGTGCATTTACATGCAACCAGCATACTTGGAGAGGCGCGGCGTAAGCATAAATAAATACATACACACAAACATTTGCAGACGTATCAGCGAGACCATATTCACACATGCAAACATATGTACATACGTATGTACGTATATATTAGGGTGGTTCTTAAAAAATCAACATAAAATTTTTTAATAGGCCACGCTTTTATTTTGTTCTATGCACAAAATAAAGACATCCACGTAACACACAAAAGCATCATTATCCCAAAAAAACCAGCTCAAAGAAAAAAATATAAAAAAAACCTTTTTAAGCGCAGGTCCATACTTACACTTGCTTCTACAAAAGTTTCTTGGAATCTTTTCAAAATAATTAATTTTTTTTAAGCCATTGTTATAGAACTTAAAAAAAATAAATAAAAAATGCAAGACTTATTCTGATGAAACTTAAACAAATAACAGTTTTTGAAGCTTAAAATATCATGAAGAATCCATTTGGTGGGTGACTTTGAATTTTTATGAATAGTTTGCAATAATAAGTCAAGTAATCAGATTAAAAATTTTTCAAACTCAGGCAGCGACCTCTAAAAATTTATTTAAAACTTTGAAATTTTCGTGAATGTCTTTATTTTATACGTATAACAAAAAAGGTTGCCCATAAAAATTTAGAAGTTGATCTTTGAAAGACCACCCTGGTACCTATATATATTTACATACATTTTTGTGTGTCTGCCACAGCCGCCTATTTGTCTAGTGGCAAGACATTCACTTAATGCACACATAAACTGCCGCACATTTATATGCTAGTAGTATGTATGTCCATACGAAAGTCTGCGTCTGGCGTATTTTTATTGCACGTGAAAAGAAAAAAAATAAAATAAAACAAAAAAGGTCTGACGCGATTTTTTAATTTTCTTTTACTTTTTCATTCTCCCCATTTAATTGCAATTACAAACTTTACTGCATTTTCACTTTGCATGAAAAATAGCCTAAGCCACGCACTGAAATAAAAAAAATGCAATTGACATGTAAACGCACGACCCACCCGACCCACTGTGCCACATTTGGTGGCCTGCAACTGCAAATGAGTAAAACACAAACAAGTTGAATTGAATGGAAAAAAACGCATTTCAGTTGCGTGCACCACATTGCAGTGTGTGCGAGCTAAAGGAGGAAGGGCGGTGAGGTTGGAGTGATGAATGTAATAATAAATTTAGAAGTGACAGTTTGATGCAACACTCAGCAACTGAAATATTAATGTGCTTGTAAACAAACGTTTCTGTATTTTAATGGAAACATAGACTTATGTATGCTTGTATTTCCATTCATGTACATATGTCGCGTCGCACTAAGCGCGTCAATGATGGTTTAATTAAGCAGCAGAAATTTAATTAACTTGCAAATGCATCACCTGCATTTCTACGCACGGCTTGTGTGTGTGGTATCAAAAACTTATAATTTATTTATGAGCGGGAAAACATGAAAGAAGTATTGCATTTGCGTTTTTTTTTTAACTTTTAAGAATTGGTTTCATTGGAAAGTATAATTTTTCAAGGTATTGATTACAGTACGCTACTTTGTCTAAAACGCTTCTCATTTATATAACTTGGATAACAACTTACAGTGGCGGTCAAAAATGGATGAATGGTGTCTCATTTTTACAAGCTTTTATTAATATTTACCAGGGACGTGAACCGGTTTTGAACCGAACCGGTTTTGAACCGGAAAACCGCTTTTTTCTATTAATTAACTGAACCATTAACCGAACCGAAATTATCCACAAATGTTTGATCCGAACCGAAAACCGAACCACTTTCCATAAAAGGTTTAAAGGTTCGTTTCAACCAATTTTCAATAGATAAATGTACCCACTATTTTTTCTTTTTGTTAAACATGGTAATACATACCATGTTTTTTTACCATGTGAGAATATCAATGGGTTGCCTACCCGTCTCATTTGACAGACCGCTTAACCTTGCGCGTTGTTGCACTTGACACTTGACACTTAAACTTGCGCGTTATTTTTTTTTTTTTCGAACCGTTGAACCGAAGCAAAACCCCGGTTCAAAGACCAAAAAAACCGCTTTGACGAACCAATCCAAAAGTGCAAAAACGGTTCGAACCGCTGAACCGAACCGACCAAATTTTTCATCCGGTTCACGTCTCTGATATTTACAATGTTTTTCAAGCACCATTATTTTTTATAAAAATATGGTTCATGCTTTATTAAAAACTATGTAAATCACACTTTCAAACTTCGTGCAGGATTTAGAAAAATTCAACAATATTTTATCTAAATTTCGAGCTTTCTAACCAGAATTTTTTAAAAAATTTTTGAGTAAGCAGTTAACAGACTTATAAAATTTTAGTAAAGTAAGTGCAAGTTTTGCGCGGCTAAAAAATCGCATTGATTTTTAAGAATTTTTTTTTTAAGCTGACGGCTTTTGCGGTTTTTTTTTCATATAAATAGAGAAGTTTGGTAAAACTGGCGTTGACTTTAAAAGCTTGTTAACTGCATACCCAAAAAATTTCCAAACATTTTGGTTAAAAAGCTCGAAATTTAGATAAAAATTTGTGTAATTTTTCAAAGTTCTGTATAAAATTTGAAAGTTATTAAGTTTACGTTAAAGAACGAACCATATTTTTATAAAAAAAAAAATGTTTTGCTTGAAAAACCTTATAGATATTAAAAACGAGACACCATTCATTCATTTTTGCCCGCCACTGTAAATATTTAATTCTTTTGTTATCCAAGTTAGATAAATGAGAAACGTTTTAGAGCTAGAACTTGATTTGGACTTCAGGGGTTCTTGCAGATTGAACAGAGCTTAACGCATTTGTTTAATGTGAATGCAAAATAAGACATAGTGTTGCAAAGGCAGACTACCTTCGTATGTTCGTACTGTCATACAAATTTGACGAGCTGTGAAATGTGTAAAAATATGTTAGTTTTATAACTGCATTCTTCTGCTTTTAAGCGCAACTTGTTTTCCTCGATTAAAGCACAATTTGAAAACTTAATTATTCACCCTTAGTCCGATGTCATCTATAGGAACTTTCCACTATGCCTGAGTGACTCGGCTATCATGATATTTAATCAAGCAGTTTAAACTTATTTTCTAATCCAAAAGTTTTCCTACACTGTCCTAAAAGATGTTTGCTAAATTTTTTTCCTTCCATAATTTTCAGCCAAATTATAAATTTCACACTAGATCAAGCAGAAGTGACTACAAACACAATGACGCGTTAACGCTATAAGCATATTTATAGGCGCTTAACATTTTACACGTCACCCAAAATACATAATCGTATATATCCTATATTTAATTGTAGCTATAGCTTAGTATCCAGCTCTTAAGAAAAGCAAAAACTCCATATAAAATGACGTACAAGAAATGGCTAAGAAATTTTCTTGAGTCAAATTTCCTTAAGGCAGTACGCAGTTCTTCAGAAATTTAGTACGCTTTCTACTACGGTTTTCTAAAGTTTTTTGTGAAAAAAGAGCACAAGGCAACCCAGGTTTGCAACAGAAATATATGCCCGTTCCATTATTTCTTGAGGAAAGAGTGAGGCAACAGGCTGTGAGGTATAAAAAATGTCAAAATTCCTTGGACACACACGCGAAATAATGGCAATTTTTTCTTGACCGTTTTCTTAAGAGCTGGATACTAAGCTTATATATGTAAATATGTATGCGTAGAGCCATTTAATCGCACTTGCAGGCCAAATATAGTGACTTTCAAAATAAACCTGCGCATTCTAAATAACATCGATTTTGACACTTTATGTCGAATTCCATGAAAGGCGGTAAAAAGCAAATTAAGGGGATGCCACAACTTTAGTTGCTTCAGGGAAAGTTCTGAACTTATTTGTTAGTGTGTACAAGAAGAAAATACAATTTTTACGTGCTTAAGTGAAATGGAAATATGTATGCATTTACATTGAGTGAATGTGTGCGTATATATATACATACATACATACACATAACTGCGCAACCAAATTTGGTGCTTGTATTCTTTACTGGCGAATTGACCCAAATATTTTGCGTGCTTTTGTAAGCTTTGTGCTCCATGAATGAGCAATCTTCGATGCGTTGGCATTTCATGTACTATTAAGGTTTTGTTATAGAGGCGGCCTTAAGCGCCCAAAAGTATGCTATTCATTCACAGTTAATGTCACTTTGTTGGAGTTTCATTGAGAAGATTTTGTTATTTTCCGAAGAATGTACTAAGTTTTCTAACCGCATATCCGTTTCATTTATACTTTCAGATATACATACATACATATATATGTACGAAGCAAATGTCTAAAAAGGACAGCATAGCAAAGCTGTTGTTTGAGTTTTGGCCTGCTACTATCGACTTAATTTAAGAACCAGTGTCGGAGCCGTGAATGCTGTGGAATGCTGTGCGTGTGACAAAGAACAGATGTCGCTGTAGAAAAGTTGTAGGCGAACAGCGTTTTACGAAATAAAATACATTAAAGCAAACCACAGGAGTGTAATGTTTTATCCTCCTTCGCCTAAGTGGTGTGTCTGAAGTGCCAGTACATACTAAGTGTGAATTTGAAAAGAGGCGACCTGGGCATTCAAGTGGTTTGGCGATCAACAAGCAGTACAGCAGGAAAATAAGTAATTCCCATAAAATAAACAATAGAAGTGTGTGATGCAGCGATAAAAATATGGATCAATGTTAGAGCAGGCAGTCCGACACGTACTACATTAGCAAGGAAGTAAAATACGCAGAGCGAGAAGAAGCTTTTTAACCGACACCTAAAGCAAACAGAAGACAATATGTTTCTTCCTGTCAAATCAAATATGTAAGTATATGCAATGGGTTCATTAAACATTTACGTACATTTGTATTTTGCCTAAATAAAAACAATCCCTAAAGAATCAAATAAAGTACAATTTAGGTCTGTTTTTCAAATGCAACCCTAAAACAGCACATTTTTATTTCGACGGGGAGTGTCATTTTGACGCCAAAGGCATGGATTTTTCATGCGTCTGTCGCGATGTCATTATAGCCATGCCACAGCACTATACTGCACCCTAAACATTTATTACAGGCATTACCCTACATACGAGCACAAAAGTATTAACTGCTTACTTACTGTTGGGAGAAAACATAAAAGTGTTACTGCGCCAACAAAGTGGTGTGATTACGGTGTTCACAGTGATTAAGCGCACACATTAATATCGATGTAAAACATTGACTACAATGGCCACTCATTAAAGCGCGTAATATTCAGGCGTACCCTGTAGGAAATTGTGGCAGAAATTTGTTGCCTAGGAGTAAGCATTTTTTCTTTTAATTTTCTTTTTGCTACAATTCTGAGGCATTGATAATCTTTTTAGTTTTTAGCAGAACTAGTTGAAAACTATTTGTTTTTGATTAGCTTTTTGTGGTGGGCAAGGTTAAATCTAAATTATCAAAGTTTTCCATCATTGTTTACATAGTTTTAACCCCCCAGGAAGTTAGATACTGACGCAATAACTCTAAAGCTTTAGCTACATTCATCCGATAAAAGTGTGTACAATTTTTGGACTACAACGCAAATTCTCTTTGAAAAGACTATTTAAAAAAAAAATGCGTTAAAATATCCTCTTAAATACATATCAGCCTGTCGGTGCTGCTTAACTATCAATCTATCCTCCCGAACTAGCGTAGACGCTAGGGAAGGCATTATTGAGGAGTTGGGAGTGGTTGTAAACGCCTGATAAAACCAGCACATGTCTTTCTAACAGGTGAAAGTCCTACAAAGTACCAGCCACTATGTATGGAATTAACTTTTAATTGCGTTAGGAGTAGCTAACGACAATTTCATTGGCTCTCCGTTACGCATAAGAACAAGGCTTTCCAATTATTTTTTTCCAATAGCGGTCGCCCCCTCAGCAGGCAATGACAAACCACTGCTGCCATGGAAAAGCTTCTCATAAAAAGCCACGTGCTTTTTGGATTCGAGGTAAAACTCTAAGTCCCTCCATTTGTTACTAAACCTTTATCTACGAATCCCACATAAGGTTATTTTATGTACTTTGGAATCGTCGGAGAGTACCTGCCCGCGAACAGACCAATTTTGGCAGGCTGTAATATGTACCAAAAGGAATCCCTGTGGATGGTAAAAAGTTCAGGCGGTTACAAAACCACTTTGTTGACTATAGGAATTTTGCTAAAACCCTTTTTTCAACATAAGAGATCTGTACAAAGCCGTTAAAGAATGCTTTGCAAAACCTGCATAATCTTTTTTTCTTTCTGGCATAAAAGATGTTTCACATTTTTCATTTCTTCTATGTACTACTGTAACATCGTCCGCAGTTACCGTGTGGCTATTCGCTTCGGAGTGCTGTAAGAGTTGCTTTATTGTTAAAACCCATAGGTGCAGAGAGAGGGTGCTTCCTTTTGGGAGCCCATGTTAACTCTTCCCCGAATCACACAAACCACTTATGTAGTCCAGAAATCACCACAATGCGAGTAGGCATTTGGTGTTTGAGGCTAACACGGGACCAGTCCAGTCGCTCCAGCGGTTTGTCATAGCTGAGGTAAATACGCTTTTTTAAAAGAGTTTTTTCTTTAATGTATTGTGGAACAATTTTCTGTCATACCTTGTCAATTTTGGTTTGGGCACAACGATTTCGGCGCTGGCCATCTTTTTCCTTTAATTTCCAAGTGATCCCTTAATTATTAAGGCCAGTGATTGAGTAGTAGTTTCTGTGGAACTACCTTTACAGTAGACTCGTTGAGTTAATAAAGAGTCTGAAAATTATATCCAGTATTTTAATAGAAAGGCTTATTGAACTAAAGGCTTTGGTTCCATTTTAACTATTTCTCTCTATATCTCTCTGGTTATAAATGCCAAGTTTAATCCAATTACCAAATCCTACAGGGTACTTTATGAAACAAATTCGCTCACCATTCCACACCTACTTGCTTACTACTCTCCCCTATGCATTTGCCTACTTACAAGCACTAAAGCTTCGCATAGTAAATAATTACATTATTTTACTTAAAAAGAAAAAATGTTGTTAACATGAAAATGACATCGCCTTCTACATTCATGCCACCCTAAAAATGTTTCCCCCTTCTCGTATATTGTGCATACATAAGTGTACTAAGAAAAGCAAAAGTCATCACAAAAGCCAAAACATAAAATGTTCGTTGCTATGTACTTTGACCAGTCATTTTTTTTTTGTTTTCCCTTGTGTTTTTTTTCTATTGTTCTACAATTTATTGGCAATTTCTCTGTCGCCCGGCTGTCTCGCTGCCATTATTATTTGTCTGTGTTGTGGACATTATCTGCTTTTAGGCGCTGGAGCATTGAAAGTGCATGCCAGTATGGGAAATGAATAGTTTTTAGGCTTTAAAATTTAGTTAAATTTCGGGTATTTAAAATTATATGAACTCTGTAGTATTTCTTACACTAAAATTGCTAAAAGTCCAGGCAAAAAACGACAGTTAGATTGCCAAATAGTGTATCTATGGACGTATCAGCGAGCGAGGCTTTTTCTGTGTTTTTATAAGAACACGCAAGTCTTTTATAACTCGAGAGCGACTTTGTTTCAAGCTCTGTTATTTCTGCTTTAATATGTACACTGCCTGCAAAAAGTATTGGCACAGCAAATTTTTCACAATATGTGCAAAAATGTTTTTTCTAATATTTTTCAGCGAATTTTTTATAAACATTCATTCTACAACAAAAAACATAAAAATATAATTCCTAAACTTTGAGCAAAACTCACGAAAATTCAGCAAATTTTCATTCAAATTTTCAACTTTTTAACCAGATTTTTTAGAATTTTTTGAGTAGCTGTTTTAATGGGCTGCAAATTAAATTCTTGTAAAAACATGCAAGTTACGGAGCTAGTCAAAAACCGCATTGATTTTTGAGAATTTTTTTTTGTTGAAGGTGTTTTTCATTTTTTCCATATTAAGTATTTTCGAAAAAATTTTTTTGTTTGAAGCGACTGCGTGAAAAAAAATTACGAAAAATCAACGGTAATTCCTAGCTACTTAAACTTTATCATAATAAGATTGATTGTACTACAAATCTGCATACCCAAAAAAAAAAATCTAAAAGAAAATTGCATGTGAATTTGCTGAATTTTCGTGAGATTCGCTCAAAGTTTAGGAATTATATTTTTATGTCTTTGGTTGTAGAATGAACCACACTTTTGTAAAAAATTGGTGGAAAATATTCGAAAAAATGTATATGTTGTAAAAAAATTTGCTGTGCCAATACTTTTTGCCGGCAGTGTATGTACATAGATTCCACAAAACAAAAAAAAAACACAAATTTCATTATAAACTTATTGACCTTTTTTATTCATCGTAATAAGTTATAGAGAAATATGTATTTGTTGGTCAATCATATTGTGGGTAAAATTTCATTCACTTAAGTGCTAATTTCGTGTGACATGTAAAAAATTTGTCTCATAGCTTTCATTTGCAATTGAAAAGTTAGTAGCCCCATTTAAAAATCATCCCAAAATGTCCACACAACCAGCCCAAAAACCCAAAATGGGCAACTAAATTGCATTTCAAAAATGCCTTTAGCTACTCGACAGCGTCAAACTCAATCATGCAAAGCCGCAAAATGTTGTCACTAAAATCCTATGACTACCTTAAAGGTAAATAGGGGGGTGAGAAAAAAGCGACGGGCTAAAGTGTGAAAAATAAGATAAAATGCGGACATGTCAGTAATCTCTGCCAATGTTTGTGGCATTTTCTGCATTTTCACAAACACATGTACACGTACGTACATATGTATGTATGCAGGTCTACATTAGAGTGATCCATAAAATATCAACATATAAACTTTGTTTTACGTACAAAACGAAGACTTCCACGACAACTACAAAATGTTCAAAAAATTTTTATTGCTCGCAATCAGGATTTTAGAAAGCTTAAACTTAAAAAAATCGCGAAAATTTGTCAAAATTTTGATTTGGAATTTGATAAATATGACATGTCATTGAAATTTACTCATATAAAAATTAAATTTATTCAAATCCTAGTAGCGAACCAACGTTTGTTTCTTAATTTTGAAACTTTCGTAGATGACTTTATCTTGCAGCTGGAACGAAATAAAAAGGGGCCCATGATTTTTATACTTATTTTTCAGTACCACCCTAATGTACATCCATACATGTATTTGCATGATGGCAATGATACGCCAGTAAACTAACACACTAAAATAAATACAAGCAAAAGTGTTGATGTGACATGGGCTGACAGTGCAAAGGACCGCCAAACTGATGCAGAATGCTCACACACTCGCGCGATTTTTACATACATATAAATCGACCAGCATATATCATTCATGCTAAGCCAGACAAATTTTTCAACATGATTTGCCAATTTGTTTCGTCTGCAATGCCATCCCATTGCGGAAATTCAGTTCAATTTCAATTTTTCGTTCAGGCCAAAGAGAGATCACAGCACTTGCCAAATGTTGGTGTTGTTGCGATAAGAAAATCATCTCTACTGGGCAAATGTACCTACTTACTAATATGCCCATAGATGGTTGGCGGAAATAGGAAAACACCACAGACAGAAAGGCAGCCAGTGAGGTCAATGGAAAGCAATTCCGGCCGAGTCAGGTCAGGGCAATCAATTCAATGTTTCGATTGCTAGTGCAGAGTAGATAGAGAGCCTGTCGTTTAAGTAACATTACACTCTGTGCCCTAAATGCAGTTTGAAGTTCAAAATTTGGATTCTTGTTGCATAATTCGTTCGATTTTCAAAAGTTAGGTGTCAATGTACAAGGATTGGACTGTAGATGTGCAGTGAGGTTTTATTTTTGCTAAAAAAATTCAAATTATTTACTAAATTTAATGAATTAGTTAATACAATATGGGTATCAATTGAAAAGTCTTCAATTCTAAACTACATGTAAAATTGTTGCCACCTGTTTGAAAAATCAAATATACTTTAATAAAGAATTAGGTAGCTGAAGTACATAGAAAGAAATAAATAAATATTAATAGACTCAGTTAACATAATGGTATAAAGGCAATCAATTTATGTGGAACTTTCTTCGAAATCAGTTAAAATTTTCAGTTTAGCTTTAGTTCACTTTTTATATTTGCCTTCTTTCCTTTTTTCACCTTTCAGTAACATAAAGTGATGATATAACTATTTTTATTAGTAAATTTTTTGACAATTGTTGTATTTTTGACAATTTTTTCCACGTAAAACCTAAAACTGATATGGCTCTGACTAAAATATTTGGTTTAAAATGCGTCAACTTCAATGGCCTTTTTGCCATCATTAACCGACTTCCAAACAAGGAGGAGGTTATCAGTTCGTCGCAATATTTATTTATTAATTTTTTTTTTATACAAAAATTGGGACCGGAGCCTTGACAATGGATAAATTACCTTTTCAACAATACTAATTACGTCTTTTGGGACAAACAAATTTTTATTTTTGTCCGCTCGCACAGCACTGTGCGACAGTGAGATATTTTTTGTAATGTTTGCTAGGTTCGACTGACAAATAACTATATGTTAATCACAAGCTGGTCCTTGAAATTGATATCAGATCTAAATCCATTTTCAGTTGTATTCGAAGCAAGTAAGTTTTCCGATTTAAATCCTAACGAAATGCAGAATCTTTAGTCCGATTGTTGAAGTTCCTGAGAATGTTCATGTTTATCAATTCATTTGGGTTTGGAATCTATAATTAAGTTCACAGCAACCCTAGCTATCTCATCGGCAGCCTTGTATGCTGGACCGGTATACCGCGTTGTAACTTATCTTATTATAATTATGAAAATTATCAGGGCCTAAATTTAAAGGGAGAAGGAGTGGTTATACTGCCAAACATGGTAGTCAAACTCATATATTTGAAACATAGCAGAAGCGTGTCATTTCTCGTCGTATATATCTTTGAGGATGAGCTTTGCGATAATATCTTGTTGAGTACATTCGTTTGCCTAGCAAATAGATGAACGTATTTCAAAACACTGGAGGGTTGAATTCGCCCATACAATATGATCAATATAGGTTGACCTGCTCATATACAGTAAGATTGATAGACCTTTGTATGCTAAAAACTGCAGTCGGTCAACCCTAGTTGGACGTTTCTTGTGCAGGTGGAATCTTCCGACAAAAATTACCTTCTTTGCCCATCCTGGCATCGAAGTAGCCAAACCCAAACATGAGTAGGGCTATGCCCCTCATCAGCTCATAGAAATGGCCTCTAGTTGCGTCCTCCTCCTCAGCAGTATTTAGCGACAAAGTCTTCCGCCGCAAAAAGGACATTGAATCTTTGGATTTGGTTGATAATTTGTAAGCATTTTAGGAATTTTTACCTCTAAGTTCGAAGATGGTTTTCGACATTACTAAGGTCGCAAATTAGATCATATTTGTATAATTGTTTTTCTCCACTTATGTATGTATATTAGGGTGGTCCTTAAATGTATTAAGTACATTATTACATCAGATCTACTAAACGTCAACTCTCACATCGATGCTAATATAGTCAAAGATATCACACAAAAATTTTGGTCCCGATCGGAGACGGTTTAGGCGTGTCGCACAGGGGTCAAAGTTCAGATTCCTCTATGGAGACTCAACAAATTTAAGTTAATATTTTCTTTCATCTATTACCCAAAATCGATGCTACTAATGTCAAAGATATCACATATAAATTTTGGACCCATTGGAGTTGATTAAGGCGTGTCGCACAGGGGTCAAAATTCAGATTCCTGTATGGAGGCTCAAAAAATTTAAAATTAAAAAAAGAAAATTAATTATATATATTATAGAGTGTAATTTTTGTGCGACACGCCTTAACCGACTCCAATCGGGACCAAAATTTATACGTGATATCTGCGCCTACAGCAGTATCGATTTTGGGTATTAGATAAAAAAAAATTTATTTAAATTTTTTGAGTCTCCATAGAGGAATCTGAACTTTGACCCCTGTGCGACACGCCTTAACCGTCTCCAATCGGGACTAAAATTTATATGTGATATTCTTGACTGTTGTATTAGCGACTGAGGGGGTGAGACTTAAAATTTCATTTTTTAAGGGCCACCCTAATGTATATACATATATCCATTTGTTAAATTCATATACTTTATCTCATTGCAGCTCCACGGAGAACAACTCAGCCGGCGGGAATAACGAGGACGTCACCACCACCAGCAATAATTCCACACAAACGCCCAGCGACCTAAGCCCACCGGGTCCCAATGAAGAGGTACTGCCACAGGCGCATCATCAAAATCCCGGACATTGCATCGCTTCCTTTGCGGCAATCAATCAAATGCGCAATAACACGCAGGTGTGTAAATGAGCATAAACTCATCCATACATACATATATATATATAAATTTACAAGTGTTTTTAATTAGTGATAAGCGAAAACATTTAGCATGTGAGCAATAGGCCGTACAGTGTGGCACTTCTCGCTGGAGTAATTAATCAAAAAGTTACTGTGTTTGTTTTTGAGTTTTAATAAATAATTGAGTTGTTTACCGTTACCCTCGCGGTAGCTACGTAGTACGTACTAGCTGCTGGAGAAGTCATTGCTCCCGCATATTTAAATTTTCCGCTGTAATTTAGTAGTCGCTTGAAATCATTGAAGCGCACGCTAGCGTCACGCACTCACGCTCATTGGCGCACACCGCCAATTCACATTGAAGCTTCGCATAGAAATGTGAAATTAGAAATTTTTCGCGCGAATTAGTAGATATATACATATGTATGTATGGGTGTGATATTCATTTTTTAATTTCATCTTGATAATTCGTTTAATTTGTGCCAGCGGCGTTAATTTAACATTTAGATACATATGTGTATGTTAAGCATAGGACAGAAGTCACGCTTAACGGTGCTTTAGGTCAATGAAATATGTATTTTTGTGTGGCACAAATATGCATATATTAATAGCTTAATGACTGAGTACGAAACTAAAATAGCTAGCGGAAAAAATATGATAAAATTCAGTTGAAATATTTATGCCTTCTTCGCCTTTAAAAATGTAAATATTCTGCTTGATATTCGTTTTTATGTTCAACTTCATAGTCACATCCGTACTCATATCCATGAGCTTGTTAATTTTTTTACTTATGCATATATTCATAAGTACGCAGTCATACTCATAATTATACCCATGCTGATACTCATCATACTCATAGTTATATATAAACTCTAACTCATACTTAAGCACATAATCACATTCACTTGGATTTTAATATTCGTACTCATATTCATACTCATGCTTATATTCACACTTATAACTTACTCATAATCATTTTCATATTCATATTCGTATTCATATTCATACTTATGTTCGTACTAAAGCTCATAATCTGATTCCTATGCATATTCTTACTCATGTTCATAGTCATAATCATACGCATACTCATACTTATACTCATGCCCATGGTCATATTCATATTCAAACTCATACTTAAATTCATTTTCATGCTCATATCATATTCATATTCAAGCTCACACTCATATTCATTTTCATACTCATAGGTACTTATGCTCTTACTAAGAATAATTTTCATATTTATACTCACTCTCATGTCCATATCCATACTCAAACTTATGATCTTACTCAGAGTTACTCATGGTCATATTCATATTCAAACTCATAATCATTAATTTTCAGACACATACTTGTACTCATACTTATGGTCATACTTATACTTATGCTCTTGGTCATATTCATACTCATATTCATGGCCGTACTCATACTCAAGCTCACGCTAATATTCATTTTCATGCTCATAGATACTTATACATATTTAATTATACTCATACTCGTGCTTATGTATGTATGTAGATACTCATACTCGAAGTTTTAAATTCATACACTTATTTATTTTAATTTATATTTTATCAAGGGTATAAATGTACATAGATAACCACACGTAAATTAACCTCGCTTGGTTAATTCGCGATTACCACCAACACTGCCAATTTTGTTGTCAAGTCTCAAGTGCCACGGTAAACGCGTCCGCTGTAAACGTTCATACGGTAGCTAATCTTACACATAAATTTACTTGACCATTGCGTGCCGACTGAATGGAACTTTGACTTTAATTAATAATAAAAGTTGACAAGTATTAAACGTTTGCTTAAGATACTAATTTGTATTATTACGTGTGTATTTCTATCTACTCCTACTCTTGTTATTTTACTTTTCCTCGTGGCTACAATTTCCCATTATGCTCTTGAAGAAAACTACACCCACATCTACGGCCTTAATTTCTGCCTCCAACCTATCTCGAATCAAAAATCAATTAGGGACAATTTAATTGTGTATAATTTTTTCTGTGCTCATTGTTTCGTGAATAATTTTGGCACGCAGCTGCTTTGTTGCTGTCGGCCACCAATTTATTCTTACTTGAGTGGGTAGCAAATAGAATCAGCAAAATGCCATCAAAATATTTTACTCAATCATCGTTACCGCCTTAGGTTCATAAATAATAGCCGGCGTAATTGCTGTTATACTTTGATTGACATCTTTGCGAAAAACTTTATCTGCACGTGGTAAGCAATGTTGATATTTGTATTATATATGTACATCTAGGTATGTGTATATGCGTGCCATGTAAGAGGCTATAAATTTGTACATAGACGCAATTTGGCATCTTAGTGTGCGGGGGCGTATGAGTGCTCTGCTCATAGTGGCACTTTTGTGGGATTGGCTTGGCAATATTTTTATACGATTGTAAGCCTTGTGCGTATTATATAGGCTGTTGTATGTACAATTGTTGGTCTACTTCCAGTCGAACTCGTTCGTGCCATTTGGGGAGTCTTACAACTGTTCGATCCACCATTTGTTGGGAATCAAACTTAATTTGAAAGAAATCAAATGTAAAGCTCGGCCTAAATCTGTCATTGGTGTAACTTTTTCAATCTAATCTTATTGATACATACATTTGTATGTATTTGCGTTGCTGTTGTTGCGTGGCGCGCATGTGGCTGTAGTAGGCGTTCTGATTATTGTCAATAAGCAAATTTAATACTACTAATAATAATTCTTAGCATTATTAAGTATTTCTTGGCGAATGATAATGAGATGCGTTAATTGAAGATTTCGTCTCATAATTTTGTGATTGATGAAATTATTTTTAATTAGAGCCGCTGTGTACACAAGAATTGAATGCCAGTGCCGCTATCTGTCTTAATCAATTTGCCAATCACAAGCATTACAGTACAACATTCAATAGCCCTAGTATTTAATCAAAGCAGGCAATTATACACATTAAAGTACACGAGATTTTAATTAATGTACTGATTTTGTAGTTAAGCATTTTCTGTATTAACTTTTTTTTATGACAAAAGTGACAGCAAAGAGCGATTGAAGAAATCTCAGTTGAACTCCACATGCACTTATCGCACTGCATGATGCACTCGCTTACTTATTTAGTTGACTACTTACATATGTACATATTTCTATCTACATCATACTATACATACACAATTGTATGCATGTACATTAGGGTGCATCACCAAAAATGGTTGCGGCTTTTCCACCGGAATTAAACAAATTTCTATATTTAAGGCTTCCACTGAAATATTTCGGAAAAATATTAAAAGCTCAGTTAGTCTATACTTAACTTAACTTAACTTATACAATACAATACGTCAATTTGGCTAGAAGCGAAAATAGAAAATATTTTGTTTTTGTATTTTCCTTTTTAACTGATTGTCACTTGGCCGCCCATAAGCCACGTCAAAAAATGCCTAAACAAAAATATATTGCGCTGGCCAATATATTTGGTTAAGTCTAGACAAACTGAGCCTTTGAATTTACGTGAGCTGTACTGATTTGAAAATACCTGCTATAATCTTATTATTTTGATTCGTTTGATAAAATTTTTAACCATTTTTATAAATTTAAAATTTTATAATTCCGATGGAAAAAAGTACCGATTTTTTTTATGGAGAGTGATGCACCCTAATGTTCATACATGTATTTGCATATGTAAGTAAGTACTACTTGTATGTAAATTCATCTTTCATAGATTGTGTATTTGTGTCCATTTTCGCCTTTTCCCACCAACCCAACGGCAACAACTGCCGTTCATTACCACCAAAATGACTTAAACGTTCGACGCCCTGCAGGCAAAATTTCATGCAAGTTGTATGAGTACACACTTGCTCCTATGAGTACCTACCTCATCTACTCGTATGCACCGCTGAGCATAACAGTGCTCTTCTTCTTCCGTTGCCACAGGGATCACAGACATGGTGTTAACGTTAGAATGAATGTACACACATATGTAAATATGTCTGTAGTTGTTAGGAAGACCGGAAAGAATTTATACGTGTAGTAGACAGTCCTGCAAGCATGGGCATAGTTCTCAAAAAGCAGGCACACATACAGGGTGACTATAAATATATAGAACGCACTTTTGAATTATATTAACGAAAAGCTTCCGCTCCATGGGGCCTGGGTTCAAACCCTGGTCAAAGCAACATCGCAAAAAAATGTAGAAACAGTGGTCGTTCCTCGACAGTCAATGGCAAACCTACGAGTGTATTTCTGCCATGAAAAACAGCTTCTCATAAAAATACAATCGCCGTTCGGAGTCGGCGTACAACTGTAGGTCCCTCCGCTTGGTGTGACAACATTAAGACGCACGTCACAAATCGGAGAAGGAGCTCGGCCAAATACTAACATATGTTTAAGCGCCAATCTATTATTATTATTATAATGAAAAGTTATCAATTTCTAAACTAAAATTTAAATTTCTCATTTAAATGTGTATGTGTGTCTAAAGTACTTGTACTAAGATATTGACCGCATAGCTATAACTCGGACTTCAATACACTCAGAAAAATGGCAGCTAAAAATATGTCTCTCGACACATGAAAACATATTTAGTTGACATAAATAAACTCTTTTCTCAGTGTAAAGCTCTCAATGACTATCAAAACGGCTGCTTTGAAGATAGGGCACATACCGCGGTACTCCACATATCTAGTTATTATGGATTTTATGACTCAGGTCGCCCTAGGTTCCGGATATAAGGTCACAGTATTATGTGATCCCTCACCTGAGTTTCGTACGGTCCCTTTCACTGAGAAAAGAGTTTGATTACTTCAACTAAATATACTATATCTCTCAGCACTTGATTTGAGTGTAGTTACGAAATTTGTCTTAAGAGAAATATATTTATATATTAAATTTACATTGACAGTTCCAAAAAATTAAAGACGTTGCCGTTTATTTCTCTGGGAAAACGACAGAACTATTGTAGGAAAAAAATTCGCGCAGAGAGCGGATGAACGTATATATTTACAGTCAGGCAACCATAA